AATACAAGAGTTTACATGAGACTTGAATTCAAGCTAAGGGTCCATGGCTACACCTAGATCGATGAAATTAGTTACCTGATCAACACTATGTTCACAAATGCGGTAGCTATATGATTGAAAGGGTCTTCTAGAGAAACACATAAATTTAAACTTTTTCAAGTTAAGTGACATAGAATTTACTTCGCACCATTTAAACACATTACTAAGGTCCACCTGTAATTGTTCCCTGTCTCCTGGAGCACCAATGAACTTAAGTAAATTAACGTCATCTGCGTACATTAAGCAATTCGAATACTTCAAAATATTTGGAAGATCGTTGATGAATAAAAGAAACAGAATGGGGCCAACGTGGCTACCTTGAGGTACACCTGACGTCATATAAATTACGTGAGATGAACATTTTTTGAAGATAACCCTCTGTTTCATGCCAATGAATTAAGAAGACAGCCAGCGCAGCAGGATTGGAGGGAAACCAATTTTATCAAGTTTGTATATTAGAGTTGAATGAGATACTTTATTAAATGTCTTGCTGAAATCAGTGTAAATGACGTCAGTTTGATAATTACTTTTGAAACAATTGTTTACATTTGTAGTGAATTCAAGAAGGTTTGATACAGTTGATTTACCTTAACAAAAGCCGTGCTGTGATACATCGATAACGGGCGTTATAGAATAAGATAGTTCTTCCGTAACGATTTCTTCAAATACTTTAGGAATGGCACACAGCTTAGCGATTCCCCTATAATTCGCAATATTCAAACTTCTTCCATTTTTATAAAGCGGCAAGATTTACGACTCCTTCCACAAAGAGGGGAAAACTCCTTGCTTTAGAGAAGCATTGAAGATGTTTGTTATACCATGTTCTGACCGACAACGAAAACACTTGAAAAAGAGTTTTGGAATTGTGGGCTGAGGGCTGTTCACACCGGCTGTTAGTGTTTTCGTTGACATTTCTTACATCCTCGTATTGCAGTTTTGCTACACAAAAACAAAACCAAAATGCTTTTCCCACATTTTCTTTTCATTAGCAACCTCTTACTTTCATTCTTATTTTACATTGGCCAGCCAATTAACAATAAATACGAAATAGCGTATTAAAGATGATAAAATATGACTTCCACTTCGATAAATAATCGAAAAAAAAACTAGTGAAGACACCGAATGGAACGAGTGGAACGTGAGTTTTCAAGTAGTTTTCAGCGAAAACTGGTTTTCGTTTGACAGATTTTACATAGACGAAAACACAAGTTTTAGGTCGAAAACCAGTTTTAGCAACGAAAATATGTTTTCGATGTCGGTCAGAACATGGTATTAATGGCTTATATAGATAATCAGCGCAACTTATTAGGACACCGGAGGGCATACCATCCGGACCGCTTAGAAAAGAATTTTTTAAACAATTCAAATGAAGGAGAACATTGTCAGCTGAGATTGAAGGAATACGGATGTGGTCAAACTGTGGGAGTGGAAAAGGATGGCTAGAAGTTTTTTCATTTGGCTCGACAGAATAGTTCGATTCAAAATAATTTGCAAACATATCAGCAAATAATATCATCACTAGAAATAACATCATCTGATTTCAGTGTTGAGGGAAACCCATTTATTTTACGTTTTGAGTTAACAAAATGATAAAATGACTTGGGATTAGAAACGATGTTAATGCGAATTTTATTAATGTAATTCCTGTAACATTTTCTGTTTAAGGTATTGTATTTATGACGAAGGATGGAGTACGCGGCGTAGTGAGAAGACAGGCCTGATTTTTTATAAAGTTTAAATGATTTAGTTTTTTGATTTTTTAAATGCTTTAGCTCTGAGTTAAACCACAACGAGTTACTAGGTACGGTATTTTCTTTAACAAGAGGAATGAGTTTACTGAATATATTATTCAAGATTTTACTAAGGTGTAAGGCACTGTTCTCAACATCCCCTCGTACTCAGGCCAGATTATTCCAGATATAGCTATTTTAAGCTTGTTGTAGTTAGCGTATTTGAAAGAATATCGCCGACCTTTCGGCTTTCTAGTTTCAGGACAATAACATGAATCGTAGGATGGTGCCAAGGACAACTCAAGTGGTGGGTGATAAGGGTCTATAGGTATAACTAAAGGATCGCCGAGTATTATAGTGCATTTGTCAGTATCATCAATAAACGCTAAATCAAGACATTTACCCAAGTTGTTGATAACTGAATTAATCTGATATAGACCAAGATCGGAAAGTTCGTTAAGAAATTGGTTAAGTACATCCCGAGAAGAATTTGGCACCAGAATTCCATCCACCGAATTCCAGGAAACACGCGCTAGATTTAAATCACCCAACACAACTATCGAATCGGAGGTTTTGACCATGGCAAATAAAGAGAGCAATAATGTAGAATGTTTAAAGTAAACCGAAGGGTTAGAGTTTGGTGGAATATAAATTGCAACAAGAAAAACACTACTTGAGGGGCACCGTATTCTAACACAGAGTAATTCAACATCATCTGAACCAGTGAACTCAACTTTTTCAGAAGAAAAGTCAGTCTGAACAGCTATTAAAACACCCCCGCCTTTTCTATCTAAGCGATCATTTCTAAATATTTCATACTTACTACACAATATTTCACTATTAAACACATTCGGTTTTAGCGAAGTTTCAGTAAAAACCAAAATTTCCTAATTTGAATCAAAAGACTTTAATTACAGCTCGGTTAATTTTGTATTTAGACCTCTAACATTATGGTAATAAATATTGAAGAAAAAACTACTTATAAGTTTTTTGATCCTGAGGAGGGAGTTTGAACAGTATTTTCATTCCGAGCTCGAGGTTTAAACTCAAACTCTCGAACTAAAGCACCATTGGGCCAGAATGAACCATCAACAATGTTTTGAAAATGGTCGGGGGAAATATCAATTTTGAAGGAAGATATGCTCCTTTCGTATGAAAAATTAAATTTTCTAATAGCTATGTGCCGGGGGTTAAGCTTTGATGTTATATAAGATTTAACATCGTCTACCGAAGTTTCACTAGAAAACCGCGAAACAAACACAGATTTATTCGCAGGAACTACGACTAATTCTTTGGGTAACGGAGAAGGTCCACTTTGAGAGGTAGGTTCAGACACAGCTGTCGTTTTTGCTGCAGCCCTTGTAGTGACATCTGAGGAAGATGCAGCTTGAGATAACTCAACACACGGAGAATTAAAACTTATTAATTCCTTATTTAAGCCGGGAGTAGGCAAAGAATCAATTGGCGGAGTGTCAATGTCTAAAGCATTCGGATTAGGAACAATGCTATCTCCTCCATGCTTCCGCTTTTTCGAAGCTTGTCTAAGCTTGGGTGATGGAGAGGATGAAGATTCAATGCACTTAAAGTTTTTAAAAGCATCTTCATATCGCTTAAACTTTTCGTTTAGAAGTTTCAACTCCTTACCCAACTCCTGGAAGCCACTTCTTGCGCTCCTAAACATTCTACAAAGGTCAACTTCGGTTGATCTGCACATGGGGCAAGACCAACGAACACCTTTACTATCGGTTATGATATCGTCCACCCTACCATTGAGACCAGCACATTTTACGTGAGCTAAGTCATCACACAACCAACACGCAACGCAACGTTCCAAGTCGTTTTTAATGTTACATTTTTTCGTTCGGTTATTTAAGAAAACCAGGGAACTTCGGACATAACACAACAATAGTTCGGTTATTTAAGCGGCAAACGACCACCAAACCATAGTCTTAGCCGTTGAAGTTGCCAGTACAAATCGTAAATGTGGATTGTCTGAGAAAATGTTGGATCAAAATGTTTAAATTAAAAATCTAATTTTGGGTAGGTCGAAGTTCGCCGGGTCTGCTAGTAAATAAATAAATAAAATAAATTTTAATTTTACCCATAGCGCACGATGTACTCACCGTCTCGACTTTAATCGATTTCGCCCCACAGCATCGATATTGTGTCAAAAATTAAAAAAAATCGATGTATCGATGTCAGAATCAATTTTTTGCATCTCTACCGCACAGCGGGGACGGCACAATGTTGACTAATACCTTGTTTATACCGATTCATAAAGAGCTTTGATCCAGTTCGCTGGGTTTTAAAACGGATGGATAAACCAAATTTCATACGCTCTGAATTTCAAAAGTGTATTGACTCGAATTTGATTTGAAATCGGTTTTTTACTTCTCACATCGGTTAGAAAACAGGTATAAACACATCACTCATTTGACGCGAAGTAAAAAAGACTGCTTTTCTTTATACAGCCCGTTTTAAATTTGAATTATTATTAAAGTAAATTTGAATTATTGTTCGCTTCCATTTCAGTCAGTCGCTCAAATCAGTTATTAAAGAAATATCGAAATAAAATAACAAATTTTGTATACTTTTGAATACGGTTTCACCGAGTGCGCTGTAAAGAAAAAAGTATGAACGTTTGAAAGAAATATGCGTTGAGTCAAATTGGTTTTTTTGTTAATGCGGTTCTTGCGTAGGTATAAACAAGGTATAATTGTCGATTGTAGTAATTTGTATCATTTTCACAAGTTTTCCATGTTTTCATCTATTTTTATTTCCAGAATACACCCACGTACTGAAAAATATTTAATTTTAATTATAATTTTCAAGTCAAAATGACAACTGACGGAAGCCGTCGTGCGCCGCAATTGTGTTTACTCTGACGGATTTCACTGGGGCGACTGTACAGCTGTTCACTTACCGCCGACCGCTTTACCGTCGTCCGCTGTAATTCTGGGTAGAACTTAATATTGAAAACTGCTTTTAGCTTTGTCAAAAATCTTTCGATAAAAGGAGCAAAATATTAAAATAAAATGCTTGGACATGATAAGAATTAGCGTCAGAAGCAGCTGAGAGATATGTATAGTGAATACCAATAATCACCAAAATGTACAATATTTTGAAAGAAATTAAAAATCAGACTGGTTTACTTTTCTGTGGAATCGAGCATATGTATTATATTGATCCATATATCTTATATTTGCAAACTAACAAAAGTTTTAATGCTTTTTGCAGCTACTTGTTAGCGGAGGGGTTGATTCAACTGTTTGTGCTGCTCTGTTACGTCATTCTTTACAGCCGAATCAAATTATTGCGGTCCACATCGATAATGGTAATTTATTCAGAAAAGGTAGGTATTTCAAAAACATTAAAATTTTTTTTTTTATTAGGATTTATGCGTAAAGGAGAGAGTGGCAAGGTCGAAAAATCTCTACGGGACATTGGTATTGATCCGTTAGTAAAAAAGGAAGCATATCGATTCTTAAAAGGCACAACACAAATTAAGAGACCTGGACAGTTCTCAATTGTAGAAACGCCTATGTTATCTCAAACATTTAACCCTGAGGAGAAACGTAAAATTATCGGAGATATCTTTGTAAAAATTACGAACGATATTATCACCGAAATGAAATTAAAGCCAGAAGATGTATTACTTGCGCAAGGCACACTTCGACCCGATTTAATTGAATCTGCATCCAGTTTAGTAAGCCAAAATGCAGAGACTATCAAAACTCATCATAATGATACAGAATTAATAAGGTTTGTAATGTCAAAAATATATGAAATAGCTTTAACAAATTTTTTAATTTTATTGTAAGACAATTGCGGTACTCTGGGCGCGTTGTAGAACCTTTAAGCGATTTTCATAAAGACGAAGTAAGAGACTTGGGAAGGGATTTAGGACTACCCGCTGACCTAATTGAAAGGCAACCATTTCCAGGACCGGGTTTAGCCATACGGATACTGTGTGCTGAAGAGCCTTTTATTGAAAAAGATTACTCAGAAACTCAGGCAAGTCCATTTTAAATCAATAGGATTTATGAAA